ATGCAGCTCGAGCTTGCACAAGGCGACATGGCAACTTTAATCGAGGGTCTCTTGAAAATTCATCTAAGCATATTAGAATGTGAGGCATTTCCGCAAAACTGGCTAAGCATTCGCATCTTCCACCACAAATCAACACTCAAAACACTCGAGTATTTGGCCGGCATTCTTCTGGACGGATTCTTGCCTCACCCTGACGATGCGGAAGAATATAACACAGAATTGTGGAAAGCATTCTTCACTACTTTACTCAAACTCGTCGGCAGTGATTCTTTGGCACTAGAAACATTTCCGGAGCAGAAACGAAGAGCAGTATGGAAGATTGCTGGCGATGTGCGTGAGAATGGCGCAGAGCTCCTGAGGCGAACGTGGGAGTTCACTGGTTGGGATACTACCCCTGAAGAGCGACAGAAATACGCATTGGCCAAAATGGGAGGTTATCAAGTTCAATATGTGCCTGCACTAGTCGGACCCATCCTTGAGTTGTGTCTGAGTGTACATGAAGGTCTTAGGCGCGTCGCAGTGGAAGTTCTCCAGACCATGATTGTCAGCGAATGGACTTTGAGTGAAGATTTAAGCGCTATTCAAACTGGAATTATCGAGTGCCTGGATCAGCTCTTCAAATCGAAGCCCTTAACAGAAAGCATTCTACAGAAATTGTTCATCAATGAGCTATTCACCTTATTTGATAACTTGTCTCGAAATCCAGATGATCCGCTTTACAATGCTATAAAAGATCTCATTGGTACCACTGATGAATTCCTCGATCTTCTCGTTGCGGTCAATAGTACGGACGTCACTGGTGAAGCTTCTCATATGATTCATCGCTTACGATTAATGGAATTTCTTCGAGATATGCAGAAGGAGGATATCTTCATTCGATACGTCCATCAACTTGCAGAGCTGCAAACAAATGCTGGAAACCACACTGAAGCCGGACTTGCATTGCGTCTTCATGCCGACTTATACCAATGGGATCCTTCAAAAATACTGCCTCCGTTGGATGAACCAGATTTCCCTGCCCAATCCCACTTCGATCGAAAAGAAAGAATTTATTTCGATATGATCAAAAACTTTGAAGAGGGCGAGGCATGGAGTAGTGCCCTGTCCGCATACAAAGAACTGCAATATCAGTACGAAGAGAATGTTTTCGATTTCTCTAAGTTGGCTAGAACACAGCGAGCGATTGCCACAATATATGAATCGATTTCCAAGGCCGACAAAATCGTTCCCAAGTATTTCCGTGTTATTTACAGAGGAATGGGTTTTCCTCAAAGCTTGCGCGACAAGGAATTTGTGTTTGAGGGATCTCCTAATGAGCGAACTTCGGTGTTCACAGATCGTATGCAAGAGCAACATCCTTCGGCTCAGATTGTCACTGCTGGCGATGTGGACGATGTAGAGGGCCAATTCTTGCAAATATCCTCCTTGAGTCCGCATCGAGATCTTGCTCATCATGTCTTCCAACGTTCTAAAGTCCCTCAAGTCATTCGAGACTATCTACTCTCCGCAAATCCTCGTTATTTCTCTACCACATCTCGTCGCACCACTTCAGGCCCAATCAGTGATCATTCAGCTGAGAAAATAATTTATGCTACTGTAGATACATTTCCGACAATTCTTCGCCGCAGCGAGATTGTTTCCGTGGATAGATATAAGCTTGATGCTCACCAAACAGCTCTTGAACGAATCATTCGCAAAACTCAAGAGATGACTGCCGTGGAAAAGAGGATTGCAGATGGCGAAGATGACATTGCATCACTTTTAATTGAAGCAATAAGTATATCCGTGGATCCTAGTTCTGAGTCCAGTATAGCGAGATATAGAGAATTGCTGCCTAATCCAATACAGAGTGAGGACGAAGAAGGGGAAACGGTAGAGCTAGGACCGATAGAAAATGCCCTCAAAATTGCGTTGATAGATCATGCAATTATGATCAAAAGATGCCTAGCTATGTTTGCAAAATCGCCTAATCTTCACAGCCAGGATGATTTGCAGCACTGTAAATCCCCATCTTTCCTTTATGATTTTCATTTGCTTACATGTCATACAGATTTTGAACAAACATTCGCGTCCGAGCTCGCCTCTCTACAAATTCCCCTACCACTTCTCTCAAATGCTTCCCCAGGCCTCGTTCCAGGCTGGACACTTTCGCCTTCATCATCTAAGGGAGATCTCATGAATGATTCACAGGGACTTCTGGCAGTCCCCCATTCCCAATCTTTCACACACGGTACTATCGATACTAGCATTCTCGATAGTCCCGATCACACCCGCGCAACTGGCGCTTCTAAACGTCTGAGTTCATTCCTCCTCAATCGAAGTGGAAGCGACGATCGAGAAAATCGCCCTCCGAAGAAAGAAACTCGCAAGAGCTTCTTTAGTGGCAATGGATTAAGTATGAATGGTATTTCCATAACCCACAAGGACCGTGGTCGAAAAGAAGCTGTAGATGATTTTGCGATTTCTGAAGAGAATGATTTGTCGCATAGCATGGAAGATTCTAAGGAATGGATAACGCAGAGCGATCTTTCGGTTCAGCCTCCTCAGGGAAACTATACTACAAGTAATGTAGCTAATGGAAGGAGAAGCAGTAGTTCTCAACGCCGACCAGGCACCCCGGGGACAGGTAGTAGTCAAGGTATAGGGGGACTGGGAATGGGAATGGGTATTGGAATGGGAAGTAATAGTAGTGGATTTGGTGGAAGTGTGAGGAAGAGGTTTAGTGTGTTAAGGTTGGGGAAAAAAGCGAGTACGGTGGGAAGTGGGTTGAGTGGAGATTTAACAGAGGAATAAAGTGGAGATGTCGACAGAGATAAAGAGACGACATGATACTTGGAGGGAAAGAAAGTAATGGGAGATTTTCTGGGTACGATCTACAACAAACATAATATGATACAACAATTATGTTATGTTATAGGTGGATCTCTTTTTTTTTTTTACGAGGGATAGATGGGTGGGTATGGATGGATATGGATGGATAGATGGATGGATGGAGGCCCTCACACCCCTTGACGGACACAGTTTTCTTGCACATATTATACGCTATCTGGCTTCTCTTTTGTCACATTTGTTTTAAGCGCGGAGCTGGAGCGTGGATCTGGAAGAATGGTTTGTGGTGGGTGATCATGTCTTTTGTTCTTTTGTACAATTTTTAGTTCTTAGTGCGTGCGAAGGGTTATCTTTCGAAAAGGAGTGAAGGGTGGGGAAAGGAAAGGGGAGAAGATAAAGTGGGGAGAGGAGATTAAAATACCCGAGAGAAGTCGAAGTTGAATACCCAAAATACTCAGGTCCTCGATATACCTGGGAGAAATGCCTATAGTTGAGATACCATACATTACATACCTACATAACTTACATTAGTTGCCTAATAATCATAGAGTACATACATAAATACGTACTTGCGTACATGTATTCTGAGTTTTTTTTCTTCTGTTTCTTTTGGATGTGTTTTTGGGTGTGCTTTTTGAGAGGATTGGGGATGGCTCTGGATGTTTGGATGATAGTTGGGAAATGGGGGACTGGGGGTTGAGAAGGTGATGGGAAGGGAAAGGGGAGAATTGAGAGGAGGTTTATGGACAGATTGGAAGGTGGGAGGGTTGACTGTAAATATTGTACATAGGGACTTGATGTGGTGTATAATACTCAAGCGAAATATCAATATCGTGTTTTCATTGATAGACATACAGAGGAAATGAACAGAGCTAAGCTATCAAATTTTCTGTACTATGCAAATCCCGAAGTCGGGAGAGAGAAATGGTATGCTGGGATGAGTTCTTCTGTTTGAGTGTTTTTTTTTTGCAGTTTGTGTGAGAGAGGAGAGCGGGTAGAGGAAGAGGAAGTGACAGAGGAAGGGCATGGTGTTCTAGGAACCTGGGATAGTTTCGTGGGGTTTGCGGTGTCTTCTTCTAAGTGATAGTTAGCTTCTTTCTTTGGATTTGGGGTTCATGATTACTTTTTGAGAGGTTTATGGAGAGTGCAGGTGAGTCTGGATAAATGATGTTGTTGATGTAGTTGCTTCTTGGGTACATTTGTTCTTAAGTTTCAAGTTGTGTATGTGAGGTATCTCTGTCATTTGTTGCGGTGGTCAATGGAATATGTTTTCTATTGGTAACTTGCAGTACTGAATGCCGATTGAAGATTCGATAAAAATGTTCTGTTGAAATTGAGGTTATATGGGGTACACAGTGCTTGGCAAGCTGGTATATGACTATTGAATGTTTGATTCGTGGCAAGGAATCTCAATCACCATAGCTGACGCGGTCAACTGTATGATCAGAATCCATTGTCGCTGGCAAAAGGGGAGGAAATCGTGGGCGTACTCCCCTTCCCCTTAATTATACATATCGTACTTTCTCTTTTTCTATAACTTTCAGAGTCTGCGCTTTTCACTCAAGTACTACACATAGTGTTGAGTTGTTAGCAGGATGTTGGGAGAGTACTGATGAATTCTTTGAAATATGGTAACTTCAATAGTTTCGATCGTTATATTCGATTACCTCGACTATCCGTAAGCGAAATAATTGGCCAGAAATGAGAACTGTTGGCAGATACTTATAATTGGGCGGTTATTCTCAATGTTAATACAGAAAACACGATGTTATGGAATCCAGAAGTCTACAAAAAGTCAAACTTTCGTTTGGTCATGCTAAGCTTATTGTTTTCATCTGTGGTTATTTCATAATTCAATTTGAATTAATAAAGTTGGGTGACGTACTCATTTCCAGCAAGTTATTTCGCTGCAAGGAGGGCTCCATTACCCGCTGTTTGAAGATATCGCGATTTTGAGAAGTTCGAGGAACAAAGATCGTGGATCAGTTATCTTTTCGTCCTATAGAAAGAAGTGTGCCGTGCGTCGATATTAAATTTCTAGGATTTAGATTGTGTATGGTATATCATTGGCCAAAAAAAGGAATGAGCTGTATTGCAGCCAGCTGAAAAATGGGAAGCCTTGAGCCTTATCTTAACACCCACCACCTTGCTCCTATGTTCTCATCTACAGAGCATGAAACTAAATTCATCCTTCACTCTAAGCTATTTATCTCAGACTATTCTTCAAAATGGTGGATATCGAGTTGACATATGTCGAGACAAGAAGCCATCTGTCTCAGCCAAGTGTACAGAACGCAAGCATCAAAGAAGAGTCGTCCTCAGGTACAGAAAATCAAACTGCATTCCTTCTTTGATACAGAAACTAACTCGTCTTCTCAGACGAAAATAAATCCCAATGCAGTTTGCCGCCTGGTGGCCCAGATCCGACAGGCAAACATCCAGAGTCATCGATAGCCGCACAAAGTGTTGAAGCTGATCTGGATAACAAAGATGAAGACTTGATCACGCTTCCCGCTGCAAAATTAGAAGAGTGGTTGAAACATGGCATCCGAGTTTTACGAGAGAGTCGACAAAGAACGAAGGCTATTGGATCTGATCCAGAATACGAAGCGTTAGAAAATGAACCAGAAAATCCAGGTCCGCAACACTTTGAGACTTCTTCCCTACCAGATAGAATTTTTGGCATACCAGTTGATGAGAAACTTATTCAACATTATACCAATGAGTTTCTTTCTAAACGTGAGGACCAGCAATGGTTTACAGCAACTCAGAGAAAATTTGTCAATCCATTCTTCGATAGAGTCCGTAGGAATCCTTTCTATTTTAAAGAAATAAGTGCAGACTCGCCATTGAAACATACAATTGACATAAATGAGTTGAGGGATTCTCGGCACGGAGATGGTGATGAAGATCGTAGCTCTATTAGTCGTTTCGGCGGCATCCAAATTTATGGAATATCATTGGAGAAAGCATGGGAGAAGCATTTCAGTAAAGTATTCAAGCCTCAATCATTCAGTGTTGCTCACCACCAGTGGTCTGTGGCGGTACGAAAAGTATTGCTTCGAGAATGTTTAATCGCAACCGCAGCTTCGAGGAGATCTATTCTCGTTGGGATTTGCTATGCTCAAATGGTATGTAACGGTGCTGCTCATGGTGGTGATTTAACCATTGGATCTGTACTTTCTTACTGTTTTGATACTGGAGTCCTTTCGAGGGGAGAAGTGAATGATCATGAAGGCATTATATTGCTTGCAGGAATCATGCCTATATTCAACGATTACATAAGGCTAGATCCTGATTTCAGATCCTACTCTTACCTTGGTAATTTATACGGTAGAAAGTTATTCGTCTGGCTTATGTGCATCAAGATCGAAGAAGTTCTTGCGCTGAAGCTGAAAGAGTTTATGCTCATTATACGGTTTCTCAAGGTGCAATCAACTTTCCCAATCGGCAAGATAGACAATCCTTCCTCAATATCTCTCGTTATTAATGATCTAAACTTTAAGTCGTTAAAAGAAATCGGCGGTCTACAATTGGTTTGGACAGAGGTACTGGAGGAACATTTCCTTCTCAATCCAGAAACTAAGCAATTGTTCGTCACATTTTTCGGAAGCGTGGAGGAATTCAGAGGATCATTCGGAGGACCATCGTCATTTTCTTGGTAAATGGTGTCGTCTATTAGAGACCTAGTGTACTTACTCATTTATACCTAGGGGGCCATCTGGTGGTACGCCTATTTGGAATGCTTTTGATCCCATGAGTGATTCCAAAACGTATGGACCTCGCATTATTGACGGCGTTCACAAAACGTGGGATCTGTTAAATTCAGCTTCGGAAGATCGCAGAAAGCTTTATAGATCTATAGTTGGTATGAATGGATGGGCAACAGAACGGCTGTGGAAGGATACTGGTACAATCACCTCATCAGAATACTCCTTCTTAGACTCGTATCACGATGCTCCTTCCTTTACGATCAGATTGGCTATACTAAATAATTCTGAAGTATCTTACAGTCATTTCGGTCCTCTTGAACATCGCGTCCGGATTCTCCGAGAATACATGGACAAGCGGAAACCGCGTGGTTTTCGACAGCTCTGGAGGGACAGCAGAGATTCGTTCAATTATTACACATTCTGGGGAGTTATAATTTTTGGGGTCGTCAGTGTTTTCTTGGCAACGGCATCACTTGTAGTTAGCATTGCTCAGACATACGCTTCTTTCAAGTCTCTTGGATAGCTGATGTGAATTGGTACTGTGGAATGTTTCGTTGGGAATGGGTTGATCACTTATGAGACTATGAGACAATGAGGTGCGATGATAGCTTGATGATGCTGCTGCTGCTGCTGATAATGATGGGCTTTTATTTCATTTTTCTTGAACTCGGTAATAAAATATACGACTAAATACCATCATATTTCCAACTTTCACGAAAGTTACACTTTGTGATTTAATCTGCATAACGATTGTCATTCTGCCGGCCTCGAAACGAAAACTAACAAACGAAGATGCCCTCAAAATCATCACACCAATAAAATCTATGTCACTTCAGGGTAGGCATTTATTCTCTGAGCCTCCGAATCCTTGATAATTTCTTTCTACTTTTTGAAATTGCTCTCCGACTCTTCAGAGTCATCCAACAGTATGTTTCCATCCCAAATGGCAAGGAATATCATATTCAACAGGATCCTAGATCCTTCCATATAATCTAGATCTGCTTTCTACAGAAAGCATTTATATAATCAAGGCCTCAGCTTAGCATACCCTCATATTCTTAGGGAAGTCTCCAGATCTCTGACCTTAAGCCTTGGCTCCGCCTGACGTTAAACACTAATACATTAACAATCAAATAACCTGACTATTGCCATCTCACCAAAACCATCTTCTGCTCTCTATCGCTTTAGCATTGGATCTTCATTCTATATGAACCCCGACATAGTAGTAGTAGTAGTAAATTCATAATCGATTCGGTCTATATAGCTATGCTAAACCCCGACATATCATCATAAAACACTCACACAACACAAAGAAGTGACGGACTATTTTTTGCTATTATAAATATCATCAAACGAGCGAGACTAAATTCTCCCTCCCATATAAAAACAGCAGAAAGACTAAATCCTATGCATCCATCAATCATCCGAAACACCAAGATAAATGCACACGATGCGCACAATCTAGACATAGAGACGATACTAAACGACTTATGATTTGTACCCAGAAGAGTTTCCATTGCTAAAAAACGGCGCTAGGTTTTATACTAGCCCGTTCCTATGCTACTAGCGTATTAGTATATGCGAGATAATATGTAGATCTCCTATACGTAACACGACTTTCCCTCCAAAAGACACGCAACTCTCTGTACTACTCTGATAGTTGGGTCTATATTGAAGTGAAAATCCTAATAATCAACCATAGGTATGCACTTCGTCGCTGTATTGTATGTATGGAAACAATCAGGATAAATCTCCCCAACTCTTTCAGTATCCTCGCAGGTTCCAAATACTGAGCTCATACATGGGACATTAAGCATTCAATTTTCACCAATCAGTAAACGAAGAAGTTTCTTGAAGCCAAAATGCAAGATATTATCGCTACCCAAATTCCCTCAAGTTCAGTGTTTCCACCAAATTTCAATAGATAGGTTAACACCAAATAGCAAGGTATCGAACAAAGCACAAGGAAAATAGAACGCGGAACCTCGCCACCTCAACCTTCAAATTATCGCAAATCCAAATTCGAATCTAACGCATTAGACCGATAAGCGAAAGAAATCGCAAGTAAATTATTCCCCGAAGATCCATACCCAGGCCCCTCTTCATCCATTCAAATTCATTGCAACCCATTCATTCTGTTCCATTCAAACCATTACCAGCAATTCCAATCTTCCGAATCAGCAGCATTATCCCCGGCTGGTCATGCGCCATTCTTTTTCCCTTTACCCTTCTCCACCACTGGTGCCGGCTCATTCAACCCTCCATCCCAACAGATCTTCATTGTAGTCGGAAAGGGGAATTCGGATCCCATCATCTTATCCATATAAACATAGAATCCTCCTTCTCTTGGGATCTTCTTCATTTCGCCCTGAGGACCAGATGCTCTTCTGAGATTGTCAAGTCGGCCAATACATTTGAGCATGGCTGTAAGAGCTACACGTGAAGCTTCGGCGCCAAGACAAGCGTGAGAACCGACGCCATAGACGAGGTAAGAATCAACTGGACGATCTAAACGAACTTTCTTTGGGTCGGGGTAGATTTTAGGGTCCTGGGCTAGTGAGACCTGAGGGTTTGTTAGTTTATATTTTGAGATCTACAGAGGGAGAGACATACGAAACTAACGAATACTGAATCGCCAGGCTTGCAATCGATTTTGCGAGATCCATCGTTGACAGTAATGTTTTGATGACATGTGCGGTAAGCACCGAATGTGCCGTACATTCCTATATATTGTTAACACGGGGCATAAACAGATTAGACAGACATAGCTTACTAATTCCTTCTAACAAGTAATGCAAAAGGATATCATCTGCTTCTACTGTGTTGAGCTTTGCAAGACGGTTGATCTCCGGAAGATGTTCTTTGCCATCACCAAGATAAAAATCAAGGACTTGACCAAAAACTTGTGCTTGGTTTGCTACCATCGCTCCTGCTGTGGGCAAAATTTGTGACCAACTAAAAATATTAGTAAACATAGTGAAGGATTGAAGGATACACTAACACAGTCTCGTGAACGCCTAAGCCAGCCTTCAACAAATGGCGTACCATGTGCACACCATAATCTTTAAGTGCGTTGTTTTCTTCCATGAAAGTATCAACGATACCTGATACAAGACTAGTCTTTGAGATAAAGTTCACATTTTGCTCAACTAGTTGGCCAAGATCTTGTGTGACTGGAAGACCAGCAGCACGTAGTGCAAAGGTTTTGGCTGGGTCGACATCACCAAAGAAGATTACAATGAAGATAACAGCCAACACCATGTACAATTCATGCTCGGTATATACACCTTTGGGATTTTCTTCGCTCTTGAGTGGGAGGTGAAAAACGTTGGCGGCAAAGTGAACATGAGCTAGGTAGTGTTAGATAAAAACAGAAGGGATCAAGTTGACGGAATTCTCACCGGAATTGTCAATATCGCGAATGACATCAACCTGGTTGGTCGTGCCACCGATATTATAGGACCATTTCTTGAGAAGTCTTGGAACAATGCTTTCGTAATAGTTCTTGACACTCTCGTGCCATTTGTCTTGGTAAAGACATTCCTTCATTTGATTGCGACGCTCGGCAAAGAAGTCGCCATCACCAGCTAACATGAAATTGGCACCTAAGGTTATATTAGTACTGAGTGTATAGCTTTCGCAACGAGCTTACATACCTGGTTTTCCCATGAGATGGGCAAAACCTCTGCGCCAATTATCAACGCCAAATGCTTCCGCGTTAGTAAGAACACTCTTGACTCCGTCATAGGTGACGATATTCTTTCGTTCTGGAACCTTAATTGGTTTGTCCCAACTGTAATCATCTGCACGGCCAAGTTTCTCCATAATCTTTTTGTTTTCAGACGGTATCGTAAGAGGATAGTGGGCATAGATGCTGTTATGCGAGAAATGATTCGGAAAAGCTCGGATGAACAACTTGTAGAAGACACAACCTTGATTAACGTTTAAGTCATAGTTGACTTCAGTGACACCCCAATTCGTAAGGTTTGCTGGATGATAGTCGGTGGTGTAAAATCTGTCACCACGAACCAATGTAACTGCATCAGAAAGAATACTACGACTGATTGTATAGGTCGGTCCGATGCCAACACCTGGATCCATAGGCTTTTTGGCATCTTCACAAACTAATCCAGCATAAAGTTCCACCAAATCAGGCTCATCGAACAGAACCTTCAATTTCTCATAGACGGCTGGATCTGAATTGATATCTGAGAACTTTTCATGTGGTATAAGGCCGAAGTGTTTGCGGAATTCATTTAGAGTTGCGCACTTCCATGCACGAGCTTGTTCCATCCCAAGGATTTCAACAGCACGAAGGACTGCAGGAACGTTGTTTGCTCCTGATGACCCAGCCAAGTCTTCAATACTGGCGGTTAATTCTTTAACAAGATCATCATCATTGAGTTTTCCGTCAGTGCCTCTCTTCATACCAGCGAAGTCTCGTTGTAGCGGATCTTCTGGTGTCATTGCTTCGAGCTTACCCAAACCAATAAGAAGCTCCTGCATAGTGACTTCCTTGTAGCTCTTCCCAAAGATTTTCATGTACAGATCTTCTGACCATTTCTCATCACGTTGACTGATACAGGAATGCCATCGGTACACGCTATATACAATTAGCTTTAATTATGAGAAGGCAATTAATTGAAAGGCTTACAGGTTGAATTCGGCGGCACATTGATTCCCGACTCCAGCGACAGTTCCGGGCTTGCCATTTCTTTCCATTTCGATCCGAGGATCAAGGGTCCTATTTAATTTTAGCTACACACATTTCTTGTCTCAATTCCAACAACTCTTACCAGGTAGAATTGACCCGGTTCAGACCGACAATTGTGCGGAGATAATCGAGTAGAATAATGTTAATGTAGAGACCGCAAGTAATAAGCCGTCCAGTTTGAAAGAGATCATTGTCGTACTTTTTCCAGGCTGCTTGCTTCTTGTCGTCTGGTAGATTGTCCTTGGGGGGTGTAAAGCGTCCATTCTCGTTTATCGTCGCCAACTGTTTCACTACATGGTTGTGGAAACGATTGAACATCTATCACGCTTTAGTTGCAGTTCTAAGGTTCATATAAGTGACTTACAATAAGGATGCATCCAACTCCAGGAGGAAAGCCTAATAATCTCTTCTCAGCGAAACAATCTGGTTTTAGTTCTCCATCCTTTAGTGTTCGCATGTTATTCTGTTCATCCTGATTACTTCCATACAGAGGAGAAAGATCTAAATAAGAGGAGGTCATTGAAATATTGAAATCTTCGTGTGAGGTGCGGAAGCAGTCATGGATGATAATGCTTGCGATATAGTAAAGCATACTGGAAATATTGTTCGGGTGGGGCTTGAATCCACCATTTTCTCGACTCATAATTGTGTCAAATATGAGGCCTGGATCTGGTTTTGGGTTTGGTTGAACGATTTTTGGAGTAACACTTCGAGCGTATGCTGTGCCTGCTTTTCCAATATCGGGAAACTTGATGTTATTGTATCTATAAATAAGGATTAGTTGGAGAAATACCCGAATGGTTCTGGTGCTATACTCACGAGCCATCGGCTTGTCGATAATTATACTTGTCACCAAGCATTGAAGCTGGTGGATGTTCCAAGGATCCCCATAGCTCATCAACAAGTACTTCTGTAAGCTTAACTCGAGTCTTGGAGGTTCCAGGAAGGTTGGCAACCAACTATCGAGTCTTAGTACTTGTGTGTTGAAAGTCGAGGGTCAGACTTACCTGAATAAGCTTCTCCATTAACATGGTCTTGTCATCTGCCAGATTTGAAGATCCTAGTTCTTGCTTTATAGTCATCTGCAATGTCTCCAAGTCCTTGATTCGCAATGCTTTGAGATCATCCCATAAACCCGATTGCTCCTGTTTTGTATCGTATGAGCCATCTCCAGTTTCGGTGTTTAAAGGACGATTGGCTGTGCTAATGACTTTTCCAAGGGACTCGAGAGTTCCTACAATACCGGCGCGTTTTATACTATGATCGGGACCTTCGAATACTTGAGGATTGGAGCTTGCGGTACCACTAGTAGACTTTTTAGTCACACCTAAAGTCAAACGACGCGCTGGGCCGCCTGATGAGGTTGCTCCATTTTCGGCAGACGCAGGTGAGGATTTAGTATTTTCCTTGTCTTTACTTTTAAAAACACTCGAAAGGCGTCTCATCATTGCGATTGAATCAATGAATCAGCCTCTACTTGAGCGTTAGCTTTTGTCTGAAGACACGACAAATGTAAACATAAATATAATAGGAAGCTAGAGTGCATCGTGATGCTTATTACTTACTTATCAACAATTGATAGTTAGTTGCGGTAAGAGAGGAGAGACCGTGCTATGAGCTGAATCAAGGTGCTACTGGAGTCTCTGTATGATTTGTACCCTCGAACGAGAGGAGAGGAACAGGCTATAGGTAGCTTTTGTTTGAAAGGAAAAGGAAAAAGGAAAGTTCCTGGTGATGTACGAGGAAGGAAAAGAAAGAGGTTGGAAGCTGAGCTACCTGGTAATCAATTGAGAGAGGGGAAAGGGAAGCTCTCCCCTCGATTTGATAGCTCCTGCAGTGTCGCAGCAGTCTTGAAGAGAAAGTGGAATTGATATCCCCTTCATTGTTACCCAATCAAAAACCTGTGAATATCAAATTGAAGGGTTACATCAGAGCTTCTCAGAGGCTGAAATATTAGTAGTTCATTGGACAATGCGTTGACAGTCTTCAGATTGAGGTGAGACCTGAATGTATGCAAAGTCGCAGATTTGGACATGGCGCGCCACTTGATAGGAAATGCTTGCACTTGATGTATCATTAAGTTGCCACACTACTCGATATTATCCTAAAGATTCAATGTATGGACGTGATATCATTATTGAATCTCTAAATCGAGATTCGGTGGTCAAACAAAAGGCTTTACAACATTCCCCGAAAGCTCGATTCGAATCTCAAAATCGAATGATCTCTCAGGTTTGTGTTTTGCTTCACTCATACACGGAAATCAATGACACAAGGCAGACGAAATTAAAATGTTTCAAACCTACTCCAATATTTGATTGGTTTATTGAGAGCACAACATTGTACCCGACCCCGCAAGCCGATATCTGGGGAAGTGAGAGGACTTCGCCAACGGCATAGAACCCTACAACGAATACACTATTTGCTTTACTTTGCAGGATGTGTGCGTTGGTGTGTTTTTGATGCTGCTGAAAATGAAGCTCTAGGGACGTGAAGAAGTCCCACTTGAGTACTTCGTGGGTAAAAAAGCATTGGCTACTGCGTAGCAGCTCAACCCCCCAACCTCCTCTTTTCAGGGGCGTTTGAAGCTCAAAACATCCGAATTTGTCTTCTCGCAGAGCAGTGAGGAGAAGATGGCTTGCAGAGCAAGGATTGTGGAGGGCTGCAATGCAAGGTAAAGTTGTATTTGATAGACCTCATGATTTATCAGCCAATTGAACCACTCGGTATGATATGCCCATCCAATTGAAGTGAGAGGGTTACCGGAGGGGAAAACGAATTGAAATAGTATTTATATTTACAACGGGAACAAGTGTGAGTCGACAAAAAGGAGGAGAGAGAGAGAGAGAGAGAGAGAGAGAGAGACTGGAATGAAACATACTAAACCAAACTTTGAGTCTATCATATCATGTGATGAATGATCTACATTCACCGCTTTCATATAGCTTGATTTTGATATCCATACCTTTCTAGATCCTTTCTAGATCCTTTCTAGATAGATCCATAGAAAAGTACTAGGGAGCTGGTCTATCATTTTGCTTTCATGAGTTTAATTAGACTTCAAAGTATCTCGAACAGAAGAGTACAGAGTACTGCCAAAGTGTCATTTTAGTTGGACCTAGATCGTACAGTTGGCAGGGTGCGTTGGATCTCCCTACGATGATCATCATCATGATCGGTGAATTGGTGGCGGATATTCCGTGCCTGGACCAATTGGCCTGGTCAATAGTCAAAAGTCAAATAATTTTGAAGATCGACAGCCAACAAGCAAGTTCACCTCGTTCACTTATTACTTCCCCCGACCTCAGCGCCGTCTTCTTAAATCTTCAACAATCTTGATCAATCCCTTCAGATCATAAATTGTCAATTCTTCCAAGATGGCAGTCACATTAAAGGTCACAAATCGCTGTAAGTTGCTCAATCTGCTGCCATTGAACATTCTTAAAGCTAATCTTCAAAGCTCCCAAAAACCCCATCAAACGTCTTCCTACCTCGATTGATATCGACGAAACGACCACGGTTCAAGATGTTAAAGATAAATTGGCTAAGCAAGCCGGCGGCTGGGACCCCAATAGATTTGGTATTTTCGATCCAGAACAGAAGAAGATCTTGAAAGACAGGAAAGCACTCATTTCTCAACATAAAGAAGTGATCACTGGGAAGGAAATCTTGATCAAGGACCTAGGTATATACCTGCAACTCATCACTCGATTCTAAGCATCAAAACTTACATTATAATCTACTATAGGTCCTCAATTAGGCTGGCGTACCGTCTATATAATCGAATACCTCGGTCCTATCTTAATCCACCTTGGATTTCCCCTCCTCCGCCCTTATATCTACTCTCATCCTACCACCTCCATTGCCCCCCTCTCGAGTTCTCAGCTGCTCTCTATGTCGCTCATAGTTCTTCATTTTCTTAAACGCGAATATGAAACCGTTTACGTTCACCGTTTCTCCCTGTCTACAATGCCAGCTAGAAACATCTTCAAAAACTGCGCTCACTACTGGCTTCTTAGCGGTCTCTACATCGCCTACTTTATATATGCCCCCTCATCCTACACTGCCCTTACATCCCCGAAAATTGACTACCTGAATATGGCTGGAGTGGCTCTATATCTCTTTGGCGAGCTTTCCAATCTCAAAACTCACCTTACTCTCTCCAACCTTCGCTCGCCGGGAGGGACTGAACGTGGAATTCCTCAGGGGTACGGATTTTCCATGGTAACATGCCCTAATTATTTTTTTGAGACTCTCGCGTGGATTGGTATGATCTTGGTGACTAAGAGTTTGAGTACGGTCATTTTCGCTATCGTTGGAACAGCACAAATGCAGCAATGGGCCGTCAAGAAGGAGAAGCAATACCGTATTGATTTCGGCGACAAGTACAAGAAGAAGAGAAATGTCCTATTTCCTACCCCAGGAGCCCTCATCAAGGAACTTACTGGTTAATGGTCTTGAGATTTTGATGGAAGAATCTCTCAGGACGATGGGGAATTTGTTGGTATGGCTGTATTTGCCAGGGATGAAAACCCTGGGGCTCATAAGAATGCCCAGCATCGTCTTCAGTAGGATTTGAAATGGACTGCAGATTAACCTCAAAAGTATACTATAGAGCACACAATACTGTTTTTGCTTGCCAGGCGAATGCCAATAATTTCATGAATCATCCTACCAAGTTCCTTCTTGATTTTCAATCTTATTTATAGGTTACTTGTTCCCTCTAAAAAGGCCGTAGTCACTTGACGCAACTGATTCGCAATATTGCGGATTTCAAGACTCGATGTTCTTAGTATGCCTCAGTTTTTCATCATGAGACAAGTGCTCAGCCCAATATCATAAACGTATCTTGGTGTCAGCTTTATTGCCCGACCATTGCACTGGTCTCCAAAATGCGCTCGAAACAAATGCATCTCTGAAAGTCGGCTAGGATGAATTAAACTCAAAATTCCCCTCTTCGACAAATTCTACATAAACTGATAGCAGTTCTTGATCATTTCCCTACAATTTGCTCTTCAGATACCTCTTAATGGCTCTCCTTCAAGCAGCATACAAGTATCGAATAAGATCCTTGACCAGAGTCAAATGCTGTTCGTTTCAATGGTTTCTCTTCGTGTTTGAGGGGCTTTGACATTTCATGCGACCAATCATACCCCGGATTCGAGATCTGACCACAGCTCGTTTCACACACACTCCAGCTATCAATTAACCTTATTTCTTAACCTTATATCATAATTCAAGCTTTCTAGTGTGTGTTTCTCTATTAGAAATTATTACCAACAATTGCCACCCCTCTTATCTGGAGGTTCTAGGGTTTTGCAAGTGTGCTTCAAAAATTCAACCCTGTTACTGCAATTAGTTGTCACACTCAATTCGTGTCTGTGCTGCTTTCCCTATGCTCAATCTACCACATTTGTGATGTTCCGGCATCAAAAACCTATAGTTCAAGACTTTTAGTCGGGAAGATGTGCTTGAAAGTGCACTCTTCCTTTGCGGGGCGTTTCCAATTCCGCTTTGCCCTCAAAAGGGATCTCCCTCTACTATCTTTTATATCTCTCCTTTCCGTCCCTCTTGTTGTTTCTTTGCTCGGTGATTTTGATAGTTATCCAGTCTTACTTATTCCTTTTTAATATTTGCAGAGCAGAATATAGTTGAGTAATAGTTGATTCTATTACCAATCTCTTCCAGAATAATGTATACACCATCACTCTTCTCGCTGGCGCTCCTCGCCTCAAGCGTCACTGCATCGATCACTGACGCCCCGGGGACAAATAATACGGCCTCTGTAGCTGCTGCTAGCACTTCTGGGATGACGTTATCCCAAGCGATCGTAGCTAATAACGAAACTCTATCTACTCTTTCCAGTAAGTTATATGGTATTCCTCTAACATCACTATATTAACATTTGCAGTGCTCCTCGGACAACAGCCCGCACTCGTAAGCGCACTCTCCTCCAATACTTCATCGGGAATTACAGTCCTGGCACCAAATAACGCGGCGTTCACGAAATTCCTTGCGACGCCTGCAAATAAGGCCGCAGCCGGCCAAAGCGATGTTGTTGCTGCTGTTCTTCAATATCACGTTCTGAATGGTACATTTCCGGCCAGCATGTTCTCAAAGGACGCAAAGTTCATTCCAACGCTTCTGAAAAACGAGAGCTACACCCAAGTCACAGGTGGACAAGTAGTACAGGTTGCTCTGGTTGGTTCAAATGCTGTCGTTACCACTGGATTAAAAGAGAAAAGTACTACAACACAGACTGTAAGCAACTACCCGATTCTTTTCGTTCTTTCAACTTGTTGCAAAAACAGTTCTAACATACATTAGGATATTATGTTCAATGGAGGTGTGATGCACATTGTCGATACAGTCCTTACTATCCCTATTTCGGCATCCATGTCAGCCATCGACTCAAACCTGTTGTCTCTTGCGGGTGCCCTTAAAACTACTTCCCTCATAGCACCAGTCGAATCCCTCAAGGATGTTACTATCTTCGCTCCTTCTAATGAAGCTTTTGAGAGGATTGGGAACACAGCTGCTGCTCTACCTACAACGCAACTCAGTCAAATCCTCGAATACCACGTTCTCAACGGCACTGTAAGTTTCTCTCTAACTCTCGCAATTCCTTACTTCTTAACTAACCCGTTCATAGGTCGGCTACTCCACTCTCCTCTCCACCGGGCTAGCCAATGAATCTTTCCCATCGCTGATGGGTGAATCCCTCACCGTCACCTCAGAAGACTCCAAAATTTTCGCCAACAGCGCCGAAGTCATCGGCGCTGACATCATTGTTTCTAACGGAGTCATGCACATTATTGACAATGTTCTCAACCCCTCTAACACAACTGCCGTTACAAACCCTACTGCTACTGAGCAGCCTGTTGCCTTTTCGGGCGCAACTAGTGCAGCAATCGCGCCATTCACCAGTGGTCTTACGGCGACAACTACAGCCCCCAGTGCCGCTACGGGTACATCAGGAAGCGAGAAGAGAATTGGAGGAGATAGTTTGGGAGGTGCGGTGGCCGCGGTTGTGGGTGCTGCTATCATGCTTTTGTAGTTGGAGTAGTGTGGTGAAATGTGTAAGTGCGGAGGGTAGAATGTGATTATTTTCTTTTACAATTTTATACGAGACAGGATTTTATGAAATGATACCATAGTCTTCGATTTACAAGAAGTTTTATCAATTCCCGTTTCCATAATGCAAACAAACCACATGTGTTATTGTAAACCTTTGCATTCGGGGAGGGGCTTGATTAAGGGGGTGAGCGGGGATGCACATATGATGTGATCCCTTGAAATATTTTAATATAGACTGAATAAGAAATGTTTGCCTACAATTTGTTATCAGCCCAAAGGAGACATTTTAGTATTAAAGTGAATAATGGATGTTATTGACTTGGCATATTATGAATTCTTTCACTAAAGTGTCGTACCAACAACACCTACCTCGAGCCTACCAGCACGGACGACTTCATGATTACGTACCACAAACTGTTTTCAACGCGAACGCGGACAACGACAATTATTTGTCAATAATTCAATTATTACTTAGCAACGATAAATCCCACAGCTTCTCTGGACGCATACTATCCAACTACAGTTTCAATACTTCTCAGATGATTCGCACATCATGGCCGAATTCGAAATTGGCCAAACGGTGGAGCTTGGAAATGGTGCTATAGCAACTATTCTATGGATGGGAACGGATCCAATATTTGCTTCAGGGGACTGGGTCGGAGTTGAATTAGAAGATGGAGGAGGCAAAAATGATGGCAGTGTCTTGGGAAGGCGATATTTTCAGTGCGAGATGGGCAAAGGAATGTTTGTTCGCCCTTCTACTATTGCTATTATCGATCGACCTGCACCTCCCCCAAAAGCACCTGCGCCTGCAAAGAAACCTGGTCGACCAAGCAGCGTTGCTGCCCCGGCGGCACGAAGAACAAACTCTGTACCAGATAATGGCGTAAAGAGGAAAAGCATGAATGCTCCAAGCCCAAGTCCCATGGGAAGACATCCCTCTGGCCCTTCAGGCCTTCGTGTACGTATACGTTCATATGATGCCATATATATTCTAATCCTACATCTAGTCTCCCACAAATCCCCTACAAAGCAACTATACTCCGCAGGTACTTCAGTTGCCTCGACCTCCCGAACCGGAACACCTGCGAATTCTCGTGCGCCCTCTGCCGGCGTTACAAGACCTCGGCCATCATCTGTAAGTCGAACATCAATGGGCCCGCCACCTCCACCTGGAGGACGAGGAAAACCATTAGCTGGAGGTAGTGGTGTAGCAAATAGGGTTGGAGGACCTGCGACAAGGACAACTGCTTCTCGTCCCACCTCTTTGGCCCCTAGACGCACACTTCGACCTGCTCCGGACCGCGCACCATCAGGGTCTAGTCAAGTCAGTGATGGTACTCATGATACGGTTGATGAAGATAGATTGCTATCACCCTCACTGAGGAGTGATACGGATCAGTTGTCTCCGCAAGCTTCAAGCCCCGTATTTACTAGGACTGGGCGAGAAGCTTCGCCAGCAGGATCACCAGCCGGACAGCGTGTTGCAACGAGCACAGCGGCCAGCAGGGAGATTGAGGACCTGAAAACAAAGCTAAGGGTAATGGAGAAGAAACGAATGGAGGATAGGGAGAAGCTGAAAGGTTTGGAAAATGTTCAAGCTGAAAAGGAGAAATTCGAGGGGATTATTCAGAAGTTACAAACGAAATATCAACCTCAGCAACAAGAAATAACGGACTTAAGAAAACAATTGAAAGAATTTGCTGCTAGATTTGAGGAAGTGGAAGGTATGCAAGCCGAACATGAGTCGATACTTGAAATGGCAACCCTGGATAGGGAAATGGCAGAAGAAACAGCCGAAGTGCTCAGAACTGAATTGGATGCCTTGAAACAAAAGACTGAAGAGCTGGAGTTGGAGGTCGAGGTATTGCGAGAAGAGAATACAGAATTGGGAGGAGAAATGAGTGCAGAGGAGAAGACTAGTCAAAGTTATCTGCAACTGGAGAGAAAGAATGAACGATTAACGGAAGCCCTTCTGAGGCTCAGAGATCTGACACAACAAGCTGAGGCTGAGCTTAAAGACGAAATCAAGAGTCTACAAGAAGATGTTCGAGAGCTCGGTAGTGTCAAGGAACATTATGATGTGGTGAAGGGAAAACTTGCCCAGTCAGAAGCCATCATTGAAGATCTCCGCCAACAACTCGATAATGCTTTAGGTGCCGAAGACATGATTGAGGAACTTACCGATCGAAACATGAGTATGAGTGAGCAAATCGAGGAACTGAAAGTCACAATTGAGGACCTCGAAAGCTTGAAGGAACTTAACGACGAACTCGAGATTAATCACGTCGAAACCGAGAAGGAGATGCAGGAAGAAATCGACTTCAAGGAAAGCATTATTAATGAGCAAGCAAGACGAGCAGCCCAACAAGATGAGACCTTGGATGATATGGAATATACTTTATCGAGATTCCGTGAGCTAGTTACTAGTCTACAAAGCGACTTGGAAGATATAAGAGCATCACATGCCGTCACAGAAACAGAATCGGAACAATTGAACAGCCGAACACGTGCAATGCAAGACTTAAATATGAAGCTCCAAGTTTCTGCTGCCAAAACACAAGTCAAGACAATCGACTTGGAACTACGTCGCTTAGATGCTCAGGAGGCATCGGAACATTTGTCCATCGTTCAGCTATTCTTACCAGATCAGTTCAATTCAGAAAGAGATTCAGTTTTGGCATTGCTAAGATTCCGACGTGTGGCTTTCAAAGCAAATCTTTTGCATGGATTTGTTAAGGAGAGGGTAAACGGACAGCCACCTACTGGCCATGAGGACGACATCTTTGCTGGCTGTGATGTTCTTGACAAACTCGTATGGGTTGGTGCCATGTGCAACCGTTTTGTCAATGCCATCAGTCATTGCTCGATAGAGGAATTTGGCAAATATGAGGGCGCATTATATGAACTTGAACCTGTTGAGAGAGCACTCAATGGATGGATAGATGGCTTGAGAAGAGATGAATTGAAGGAAAAGCAATGTGCCAGCGAATTGCAACGTACTATTGCTCTCATGTCTCATCTTGCAGAGGTTCATCTTGGAGATAGCCTTGCTAATTATGCTGACGAGGTTCATATGCGTACTCTTGTCATGCAGAGCCAGCTGGAAAATGCAGCAGCAGCAATTTCATCTACGAGAACAATGGTCCAAACCATCATACCCAGTCAAGAGGAGGATGATGAGCTCTTTGAACATTTCTCCAAGAAGACGGAGGCAGTCATTACCCAGACGCGCAGTGCAAAGGTCATTGTTGGAAAAGCAGTCAGAGAGATTGAAGACATGAAAGCTCGATCATTATCACTTATGCCTGACACTATTGAATCGTTTGAGCAGTGCGAATTGGCAACTCAACAACTTACAGAATACACACGCCATGTAGGAAACGACCTGTTCACGGTATTACACGAAGAAGGTAGAGCCGAGCCATACACATATGTAGAAGTTCAAAGTACTATCTACCAGACCACTTCAAACATACTTTCAACTGACGAATCCGACTTATTCTCTACCTACTCAAACAAGCTCAAATTTCTCAACAATCAACTAATCGATCTCTCAACTCTGACATCCGATCTCGACAAAACCCTAGAATTTGAGCTTGCGACAGCCCCTTGGGTTCTCAGATCTCAAGAATTGAAATCTTCCAAGACCGTAACCGTTGATACCCAAGAAGAACTCCGCCGTCTCAAAGAAGACAACCATGAGCGTCTCCGTCTTATCGCTTTACGTGATCAAACTCTCGAAGAATCATCCGTTAAGATAGAACTTCTAGAAAGTCGCATGAGAGATGCTACCAAGAAGAACGAACGTATTAATGAACTCGAGCGCAAAATCGAAGTTGCCAAGTATCGTGAAGCAGAACTTGCTGAAGCAATCGAACTTCAAAACAAAGAATTATCAACTATGGAAGCTGATCGCGAGAAGTGGAAGAAGATTGCGGATGAAAGTAAAGCTTTGGGTGAAGTTGTATCTGGTTCTAAAGCAGGCCAGGAACGCGCTGTTGCTACTGCCAGGGAAATGGATGCCCTCAAGACCGAAATTGCTAGTTTGCAAGCTGCAGTTCGTTACCTCCGGGAAGATAATCGTCGGGTTAAACTTTCGGAACGCGAAAATATGTCTTGGTTGGATGAACCGTTGATTAAATCTAAATCAGTCGAGGAACAGAGGAAAGCATTGGTCATAGCAGAAGGTCAAGATGTGCTAAGCGAGCTCTTGACGCTGGCTACGGGGGAAAATTCGAGAATTTATGATTTGGGTGCCATAAAAGCAGATAGGGGCAAGTGGAGACCGGCAAAGAGTACACCGGGATACTGGGTTGCGAGACAGAGAGAGGAATATGAGGATTGGAGGGCTTGGAAGGAGGAAGTTGTCAAGAAAGGGAGAGTTTTGGGAGAGAGGGAGGGAAATTTAGGAAGAGGAGTTGGAACCGGAAGAAAGGGGTTGAAGAGGGATGGGGAGAGAAATGTGGCCGCGAAAGTAGATCTGAGGTGGAAGGATTTGGAAGGGAAGGGGGCGGGAAGAGGGAAAGAAGTAGAGATTGTAGGGGCTGGAGAGTGGGAAGGTGTTAAGAGGGAATGGGGGTTTGTCTGAGTGAATGTTTAGAATTATGAGAGGAGAAATGGAGAAAGAAAGAAGAGGATGATTATACCCTATGCTTTGTTATCTATCCAGCTAGAATATTTGGTACATTTGATCAATTGTTGATTATAGTATTATGGTAGCTACTTGATGAAGAATTGAATTAATTTTACCATAGCTTCTTCTACTTTGCCCCGATGAAGTCTTTGGGTTTATTGTGACTAGAGCTGAAGTTCTTCCAAGTGAGTTCATAGAGGATATCACATATCACTTCCGGCGTCGTTTGGAAATCTGAAGAGTTCTACGCTTTGGATATGACGAATCGAATTAATGGAAAATTTGAAATGTTTCACATGTTAGGAATTGTCCTTGATCTTAATCTTAATCTCAATCGCAAAGCACTCCTCTCTTCTTTTATATTTATCTACGTGCAAACCTACATGCAAATCTATAACAGTGATAGAGCATTCTCCATCGATTCGGTACATCTATCTTTACCTACCTACCCACCTACCTACATAGTTAACGCTACGCCGATTATGCTATACATTTATACACATCCACCATCCACCATCTCGTCGCATAAAATAAAATAAACAAATCAGTAGAA